AGGACAACATTCTCCAGGTCTGATAACCACCATATTTGCCAGATGTCCTTTGCAACATTTTTCTCATCAAATCCCACTTCAAAGGAACAAGATTTCAAGGCATTGAGGAAATCCAAGAGAATGCAACAAGGTAGTTGCTCGCTATCCTCCCAAAAAAAGATTTCCATGAATGCTTCCCACCAATTGATATGATTCTGGATAAAGTGTGTGGCTTCAGAATAGGACTACCTCAAAGGAGATTAAATGCTGAATTTATATGTATTGTAGTTTCCTTTTCATAGCACCAGTCCCGATACTTTTTGATCAGACCTTTTATGTGTTTCTCCAACACCCATAAGCCAACCTGCAACTATGCTGAGTGGAATTTTACAGTTTCTGGCAGTGTGTGTGAAGCCTGATGTGAGGATAGAGAAGCTTCAAAAACTGAACAGCAATTTCCACATAAATTGTCTGAGGGAAGCACTGGACAGCACCTCACAACTTGCATTTCACTTTTTACTGGATAATGAAAAACCCTTTTTGTAGATTATTGTCATAGCAGGAGATGGAAATTGGATTCACTGCAGTAATCTGAAAATCATGATTGGAATTAGAACAGCCTTCAACATCTCCAGCCCAGACTTTTTTGAAATAAGCTATTGTTGTGTATTTAGTGGGGTGTGAAAGGCATATTGTATTACAAATTGCTTAAGTTTGGTTAAGAGAGTTGTAGGAATACAGTAAGTCAACTCAAACAGGATGACACAAATTTGTGTGAAATGTGGAGATCTCAAACTTACACAAAGGTTCTCCCAGAACAAAAACAAAAAGTTTGCACAGTTGCACCATTACTGCTAACTTCACCACTCAAACTGTCAACTGGCTCAAGAATCCTTACTATATTCTGGTTTTAATACATACTACATTACCCATGACCTTTGGGTCACTGATGGTTCAGGTTATAAAACATTGAAGTTGATTTCAACATTCCATTGAAATGAAAGTTAATTTTATTATGATTCAATTAAATATTTCAATTCGTTTGTGTCATCATTGGTCTGATTTACAAGTTCATGTTTAACGTTTTACTGATTATTTACAGCATTTATTAGGAATAAAAGTTCCAGAATAAACTTGAACTCCAGTAACAGCATTTATTTATGGCATATATGAACACTTGTACAAAATGCAAAAGGAATTGTTATATTACTGTATAAACAATTTGTATTTTAAATTTTATTCACTTAAAATATTTTTTTAAATTAGATTAACTTAAAAATATTTTTTTAATATGCCAAAAAATATATTCAAATAATTTAATTATTGTCTGTTTAAAGAAAGCTGAAATATAAATAATTACCCTACAAACAACTGGACGAAACTGAAAAACGGGATTTCTTTGTGTCTGTCTTTAACTTAATATTTTAATTAAAAAAATTATCTGTTTGAAAAAAGTTAAAATAAAAATACTTACTGTATAAACAACTCATATTTTTAAATCTTATTCACTTAAACTATTTTTTAAATCATATTAACTTAAACCATTATGCACTGGATGCATGCACCACACAAGCATGCAAACACACATGCATCCAATCACAGACTTTTAGTATTATATAGATATGCATATCCTGTAAGCAGTAAATTTGGGTCATTCCCTGAAACTTTACTATTATATATGGTAGAAAGAAGTGGCCTCAGCTTCACAATGGAGACATGTATACTTCTTTCATTGTGAATGGTAAGGGCAAGCACACACTCTCAGTTGGTATTTTTTGCACAAATACCTTGCAGAATATTACAGTCATGACCTCATAAGTCTATGCATTGCAAAGCCATTTACAGGACAGGAAAGTGGGAAAGGTCATACTGTTGCATGTCAACACTTACCCACGTGTTACTTTGCTGACCCCCCAAAACTATTATGAGCCTGGGAAATTCTTCTGAATTATTTCCCACCCTAAAACCCCTTTCCCCCAGGGAGATAGAATATTCTAGTCCTATTTTCATAGTAAATTTTCAGAAAAAATATTTTTTTAATTTCACTAGTTCAGATCTTTACAGCTAGGAAACAGGCCACATATACGGGGTCGACATAATTCCATTTCTAAGAAGGAAGTTATACTAAGAAAGCTTCTTCCCCAGAACTGTTACTTTAGAAAACAAACTCCTGAGAAGTTGCTTCCCCAATCACTACAATCTTAATCTCTTCAAGTCTAGTGTCAGCCATTATCTATCCTACCTATCCTTATAATATGCCCTTCTTTTCCTTCTTTTACTCATTTATAAGACATTTATTCTGTAACCCTCTACCTTGAGTGGCTCTTAGATCTCATATTGAGTGAACAATTTAGAATTACTAAAAGTTACAAGGGATAGGAAGTTGTGGAGAGCCATGATTGTATATGTCCTGAACTGACATGGCATATAAAAGAAATGGTAAAAATCATGAGCAAAACAACTCTCTGTGGCTGCTCGGTCTCACGTTGACTGCTGACCTGAGATGGAACAAATACATTGTGTCAATTGCTTTGTCCACTGCAAGGAAAGTTGGCTCCCTGTGCCGCACCAGGAAATTTTTCTCCCCAGAATCGATCCTCCAGATCTACAAATCCACAATTCGTCCTTGCATGGAGTATTGCTGCGATATATGGTCTGGAGCCCCTTCTGTTTGCCTCAGGGTTCTTGATAGGCTCCAGAGGCGGATATGCAATATAATTGGCCCTGCTCTGACATCTCATCTATAGTCACTTTCTCACAGATGCGCCGTCGCCTCTCTCTGTGTGTTTTACAAATACTTTCATGGCAATTGCTCCGAGGAGCTGCATTTGCTGGTTCCCAGGCTTCATGAGTTCAAGCGCCCTACGAGGCTGGCATCCCGCTCCCACCCTTTCACTGTCGAAACTCCTAAATGTAGCTGTCTCTTCTACTCCTCTCGCCTGTGGAACTCCCTTCCCTATTCCAGTTTCCTTGAGAGCTATAATCTCCAGCTATTTAAATGTAATGTCAATCGACATTTCCTGTTTTCTTGAGCTATCCACTACCCTTCTCCTCATCTATCACTTCTATCTGATCTTGCTCCAAATTTTCTATAACCCCTTGCGTCCTAGTGGCTTCTTGCCTTGCTTGGGGTGAAACACTTAAAAAAAAAAAAAATTTCATCAAAAGGAAAGATCACAAGATATTTTGTGGCTGCAAATGCCCATGTGACATCATCATGATTCAGCGACCCTGAATCTGTAAACGTAGAGATCTGACTGTTATGTAGATTTTTCCAACCCATCCCCCCAATACAAGAAATGAAGGGACTGTTTTCATTTTTACTACAGCAGTCTTGTTAAGAACGTGTTTATTTTTCAAGCATAAATAAACATGATGTGAAATAGAACATGGTACATTGGATGGATACATTTTATTAATAGGAACAAGAAGAAAAGAAATCCAAAGAAAAGTCATTTTGAAAGCAGTTTAGCATGTGAATGTCATGACCCATGTAGCTATTGGTGATTAAATGAAATGAACTGGACAAACAAGTACCATATTTGCCAGCATCAAGGATGCAGTTTTTTTTCCTGAAAATAAGTCTTGGAATTTAAATGACACCAGGAATTCTGGCATAGATAGTGTTTATCTGGGGTTAGCGTAAACCTATGAAAATCCTAATGAGTGTCCTCAAGGATGCATGGCAAATTTTTTAGAATTATTTCATGAAAAAAATGCATCCTCAAGGATGCAATTTTTTTCTGAAATACATGGTAATTAGAAAAGAATGTTTAATTCTATGAAAGAAGTACTGAATCTCTGTGTGTGGGTGTGTGCGTGCATTTGAGAGGGTGATATGTAATACTAATGAAGAAATTAATGGAAAATCAGTCCAGATTTTATTAATGTGGTCTACAAATGAATATATCTTTAACATATACAGAACAAAAAAATATCTGGTTCATTGTAAGTTGTTTATTTTAACATTTAGGAAAAAAGATCAATATTGATGTAACAAATTTAAAAAAAAATAATTGACACACAATTGACTGATTGGAGCAAAGACAAAACCAAAACCAACAAATTTCCATTTGAATTTTTCAGATGAAGAGTTAACACTATTTACATTATTTACATGTCAACTGTTGTCCTTATCTTTGTTCTCACAATGTTTTGGCTATTGTGCCTTCTGGCTTTCCTCAGGTGCTTGTCAATCTGAGTAAACTTTAGGGATTTTGAATTAAACCCTTTATTTAATTCACAAACCAACACTTTAATCTACTAGTAGATTAAAGCATTGGCTTGTGAATTTGGTAACATAGTAATTGTGATTTCAATCCCTAGTGTGTACTTGGACTCATTGGAAACAGGAAGAGAAATAGCTGAGAAGTACTAAATAAAAACTAGATGAGATATCTGTAAACATGGTTATCAGAATGGGAACAGTCTATCCTGTCGATTTAACAAAGTGTTCAGTTTGAAAGCACCTGAACATTACCTGGGTCAATAAGTACTTGATGATGGCCAAGGGTCACAGAAATTTATTGCTCTTTTTCAATCATTGACCCTACTGGTCAATTGTGTTTTAATGTTTTTTTTTTAATATATTTTTTTAATCAGTATTGATCTTTTTCCCAAATTCCAAACATATACTCAATGCAATCAGAAAAAATGGTTCAGTCTGAGTCATATGGATAGTGACACAACAGTTATTAGCATGGAATGTGGAACTGGTGAGTCTTAGTTGAAATCCTAGCCTTGTCTGCTACATTCACTTTCACACTAATAGTATTAGGAAAGGTAATAATTCATCTATTCTCCCTCCAGCTATTGGTAAAATAGCAGGGTAGACCATGCTCTCAAGAATTTTAACATAATAGAATAGCATCATAAATTTTATATCATTGTAGAAAAGTGTTTAACAACAAATGGCTTTCCTTGTCCTGTTCTCACAATATCATAACTTATAATAGATTTGTTTCTATTGTGTTTGCTATGATGAGGCAAGAAGTCTGCTCTGACAACACTGTCTTTGTTTTATGGCCATATCACATTGAAACACTGGTTCTCATACATTCACTGAAGTTAAGCAACTTAGAGCCTGGTCATTACCTAGATGAGTGACTGCTTGGGAATATCAGGTAGTATAAGCTTGGATATGTGAGTGGTGTAATGGATAATAGCTGGGAGTTGAAAATCAGGGAGCTGACGTGCAAATAACTTTGGGAAAGGTAGGAATCAACCTCTTCCCCACCTCTAATTATGGGTTATTTAGTGGGACTTGTATCAGTAAATAATTATTATTTCCAAAAGATTCTTACAATCTAAAATATTTTATGGCATTAAATAACCTGCAAAAGTTGGGATTGCTTGTATTCTTGTAAAATAAAATGATAATTTGATATTAATTATATTATTAAATGTAAAATTATCAAAAAGGTATAATTATTTTCCATTATTATCTCAACACGGTGATGACATTATACAAGATGATATGATAATGGTAATAATTAGATTATCTGTTTCCATACATAAATTATTGGCAATCATTTATCAAACGGCATTACTGTTAGTTGAAATTTATAAAATATTTCTAATATGGCAGTTTCTCAGCAAAATATGTTTCTCAAGTACATGGCACATTATTGCTCTTTCTATTACTGATGGTAGGTTTTTAGTTAGTTTTTTCCTAACCATTTTTTAAAGTCAGTGTAGAATGTCAACATCTTGATTATATCATTATTTTATCTTCTGGTAACATGTTCTATCCATTTTAGTTGTTGTTGCTGTTGGAAGTCTTCAAGTGATGTTATTTTTTGCTATTTATTAAAGTTCTTTGTGATTCTGTAGCACCAGTCGGTAAGATCTGATGAAAAGGATTAATTTACATGAAGTCTTTTTTAATCATTTAGCTGAGAAACTAGTTGTATATAGCTGATAGTTTAGACATTTTTGAATGAGTGAAAATGATAAACTTTACTAGGAGCTACAAAGGACAGGAAATTGTGGTAAGCCATGATCACCCACATCCTGAAGGGACACTGTACATAGAAGAATATATGGTAGCCTCTCAACCATTTTCTTTTCAACATTTGTGGTATCCATACCAATTTCTACAGTGTAGAATTGTTTCTTTTGGAATGTTTCTGGATTGTTCTTTTATGTGCTTCAGACTTTCACATTTAATAGTTTCTCTTCTTGCACTTCTCACCTCTAGAACTCTCTTTGGCTTTCTTTCTTTTTTCCCACCTATAATCCTCAAAAATTTAAATGTGACCTCAATCATCATCTTCTGTCTTCCTAAATCCTATTCATTTATTGTCTTTTCTCCTCAACAGCATCTTATTTCCTCTCACTCCTTGTGTCTTCACTAAAGTCTTCTCATTCTCTTCCACTCCAAGGAGCCCCTTGTATCATAGTGGCATTATTGCCTTGCTTGGGGTGAAATGATTAAAAAACAGAAAAATGGAAGTATAAGTAAGTGTGTACTTGCAAGAATGGACTAATCATATTTCCTACAATATAACATGCAGCTATGATTTTACAAGGAACATTTAAGAAAAAACCTAATATCCAACTAATGATCCTTCCATGCTTAATTAGTAATAATAATCTAATAATTAGATAATATATCTGATTATAAATTATAAAATTATTATTACTAATTAGATTAACATTTAAAAAAAGTTTAAAAATATGACTCATGAGAAGACTATTGTGCCAAATGGACAGAGGAAGGTATTTAGGTTTTAGTTTGTTAACCCAAAGGTATATAAAATGGAAGTTGATTTCTGGAGGTATTTTATTGAATAAAATTATGTCTTTTATAGCAGTAAATACTGTATTTCTTATATGAAAGAAATACTTTCTTTTCATCATTATGTTATTGGGCTATTGCTGTATTAACATGTTATTATTTAAAACCTACTTCCAAGGGACTTTTTAATTTTCCTTTTTTTCTTTTTTAGAGCTCAAAGTTTCTTGTTAGTAGAGAGTGTGATGAATTTAGAATTACTAATAATTTAGTGATTACTGAAACAGACACTTTTTGACATTCTGCCAAATCCTATTTTTGCTCAGTTATGAGAGAGCCAATGTTTTGTTTGTTCAAGAATCACTCTGGCTTATGGCATGCCTTGTGGCTAAAATAATTGTACATTTCCTCCCAGTGTGAAAGGTCACTGTTTAAGCCCAGGTAAAAAGACAAAGATTTTGAGTGTTGCTTTTCAAGGTGACTAAGCTTGTCTGACTTGTAAATTGGTGCAACACATTTTTCCTTTCCCTTAATTTCCTCCGTTTGGTCTTAAGTTGTGTTTAAAAATTGATATGGCAGCTCAGTTCCAAAACGAAATAAACAAATTGCAAGTCCAAACTTGAAGATCCGGAGGCAGAAAGACATGTCAAAATCATGAATTGCAGGTCCAATGTCTAAACTCCTACTACACGTAAACAGTCAGGAATCCAACGCACAATGCAACAGTCACTTGCAAGCCAATGGATGTTGATAGAAAAATAAAATTACCCCCATTTCATGAATTCCAACCACCTTTATCGATGGAACAATATTTTCATTGGTCAACAGATTGAGAGGACAAAAAATATTTGTATATCTGAGATGCATTTATGGCAACAGCTGCGACTGACTTGTTCCTATTTTGTTTATTTTGTCTTCGACATATTGTACATAACACATGTACCCTATTTCTCGGTAAGGGACTTTCTCTTTTATCACAGTCTGAAGTAAGTTAAGCTAAATTAACTTCTATTTATAGAAATGTACCTTGTCTCAGCCAAGATCATGCCAGAATAGACTCTCCTCTTAATGCCGCACCAGATGATCAAGAAAGCTAGGTGCAAAGTCGACCTGACAGATGACTTCCTGACTTCCCAGTGCAAACTAATGTGATTGGTTCAACTGCACCTGGGATGCACATGTGAGAAAGGGCTGCATGACAGAGATAGATATATAACCACCACTCCCACTGCCAAAAAGGGCACTCACTCAAACATTGGACCTGAGAATGTAAAGTCCATGTTTGGATTAGGGTCCAGAGCCATCCATACACATGCATACACTGGATGACAGAAATGTTAAATATAATAGATTAAATCACATGTTATCATTGATCAGTGCAAGAATACATCATTATAGATAATCAATATTTAATAACAGGCAAGGACATGTCTTGGATTTTCAATTTTCAGTTCCAATGTTTGTCATATCATTTATAGAATTTTATTTTTCATATATGTGTCTACACTTGTAATTTTTTTATTTTCTTTTATTTAACTCTGTTTATGTGATTACAGAATGATTCAGCCTGTTTATTTGCCTGATTGAATTTTCTTTGCTTTTTTCCTATGTTTTGTTTGCTTTGTTATACTGATAATCAAGTCTGTAGACTTTATTCAATTATTATGGCACATTTTGCTGACTCATGCCAATCCACTAAGTCTCCATGTTGTCATTGTGGCATTGGCCTTTGTAGACAATCTTCACTTTCTATTCTCATTCTGCCTTCCATTTTGTTTTTTTAACTGATAATAATTGTTTTGTGGCCATTATAAACCTACTCAGGAATGTGTGCTATTTTTTTTGTATTGAGTCTGTCTTTATTCTGACAAAAATAAAAAAACAACAAAAATGAGGAGAGTCAAAAAAAGTATTGAATTTAAAAAATTTTAGAACAAAAATGTTTAAAGTATCTTTCTGTGCATTGAAAATGATTTTTTTAATCATTTCATCTCAAGGAAAGGCAATAAAGACATAAAGATGCAAGGTGGTGTTAGGGACTATGAGAAAAAAAAACAATATTAAGGAGAGAAAAATTAAAAATCAAGAATTAAGAAGACAGAAGATAATGATTGACATTGCATTTACATTTTAGAAGATCAAAGTTGACTGGAAAGCAAGAAGCCTGAAGAGAGTTCCACAATGTTTGATAGTAGAAACTCTCAATATAGAACCTACAGTTACATTTAGCCATTTCAACTGTAAAATGATGAGAGCTTGCTGCCAATAAAGTACTGTGCTTAAATTTATAAAGTCTAGGTACCATAGTAAGTTCATCAGAACAATTACAATGAATGTATTTATCAAAAAAGCACAGGGATACTATGTTACGGCAGTGGGAAAGTGACTAAAGTCAAGATGCCAGGTCAGGACCAATAGCATTGCAGATTCCTCTTTGAATTTTATCAAAAATCTCTAACTAAATAGCAGGAGCACCAGACTAAATGTGGATTCAAAACAAGGACAAATGATTGAATTAGTTCTGAATTTGGAAAGATGATGGTTATATTTGTTTCAAATAAAATTAAAATATTAAATATTATTATGAAATATTAAATTTTAAGTAAGATTAAAATATTGAAATAAAATATTTTCTGTTGGGAAGATTAGTCACTCTATCTTAAAAAATGAATAATTCATTATACTTACATTTTATTCTATGTGCCGTTTCCATTCAGGACATGAACTCTCCACTACATCTTATACTTTGTAGCTCTAAATAAGGTTTATCTTTTCATCATTCCTCCCTGTTCTGCCATTTATACAAGTTTCTTATGTAGCTTACTTGCTGCTCCCCCCTGTTCCCCTCATCTTCAATATGACCTGTCAGTATCAAATTCTTCAAGCCCTCTTTTCTCATTAAATGCCTTAGGAAATTCAACTATCTTTTTCTGATACTAAGTAAATGTTATTTTGTTTCCATTATCCTTAAAAATTCCTCATTATTCATATGTTTAGTCCGTAGTATTCTGAGCATCTTTTTGTAGAATCAGAAATCTGTTGCTGTCAGTGTCCTCTTCATCTGTAATAAAATTGTTCAGACTTCATTGCCATATAAAAAGATTGATATTGCATAGCAGTTTGGTAGTCTTTTCTTTGTTACTAATTAAATTTTCTTGTTTCTCAATACTTTTAGTTTTTGGAAGGTAACTTTTGCTTTTCCAATGTGCTTTCAGAATTTACTGTCACATTTTCTGTCCTCTGTTAAAACACTTTCTAGATATGTAAATTTCAGTTGATTTTATCAGTCTAGTCTTTCATGGTTAGGATGTGCCCTATTTTATACACTGACTTAACTTATCCTCATTTGCTTCATATTCCATTTGTAAGGAGGAAATCCTCTCAGACAGTA